AGAGCAGCAGCTGACGGAGCTTGAGGAAGTTTTTATCTAAGCTCGCGTTTATTTCGCCCATGTTTTCTTCCTATACTCCTCCACGGTCTCCGCGGTTCGATGAAGAAGATGGGGAAAACGTGGTTCTCAATTTTTCTCAGGAATCTTGTGAATTAAACGGTAATTTATATGTCCATTGTCATTAGTGCCATTCATTTGGAGGACTTCCGCTCTGTTGGTAGTAAATCCCCAATAACTCAACCTCTCACAGTCTTATTAGTATATTCCTACTTCTAAATATAATAGATAAATGCAAGTATTAATTAAACGAGTTTCGAGACATGGTCATTTGATTTTTCCCCAAATCTTAAGATGAACGTCCATAATAACATACCCCCTCACGAAATGTTGCCTCACACACCTTAAACGTGGTGGTAGCGGCAGTGTCTCAAGAGCCTCTCGTCTCCGTCCCTCTCGAGTAGTTTATGAAATGCACGGGGCTGCGAACTGCAGAAATGCTTTTAAAGCGAGACTGTCTGATTGGCCTTGCTGGGTGCAGTTGGAATTCCTGGAACAACCCCCCAGACACCGATACGGTTTGTTTATTGAAATGGACGCTGGCGGATTAGCCCATCAGAGCATCGGGTTCCATCCAATTGTGAATCGGTGTTGCATCGGCGCAAAATCGTCCAGACTATCCCATCAGGGGTTTTGGCCATCCTGCGTTGCAGCATTAGTAATGCGCAAAAATGTGTACGGTTACAGTCATCCTTGGTTGATAACTAGCTGCAGTTAACCCATCCATTGTATGCACTCAACCTTCCTTAACCTAACATCATTCGTCCAGAGCTAACCCCAAACTTTGTCAGTTAGTCCTTATAAGCATACGCGGCCAAAAAACACCATCCGCGCAGTGCCAACAATGTGAGCCGCTAATTCAGGGTAGATGGAAGCTAGTACAATTTTATCATGGTCCCTAAATTCTTACTCTTGAGGTGAAATCGCTCACAGGAATGCTTTATGTAATCGTTAATAATTTTCTATGTTAAAACCCTAACTGACACATTGAATATTACAGTGACCAAGCGATTTTTGAATGTGCGGTCGGTGTCAATGTCACACGAGCCACTATTTTTTTATTTTGTATGCTAATGGCTAGCAAAATGCCTGCACTTCAGGAGACTTATCTAAGACGCAATGCACTCGTACTCTCGACAACCCATTTACAAATGGTTGCATGATTATAATGGGCAAATGGGCAAGTTGGTGAGTATTATATCTGCCCGTACGCTGGCATTTGGCACATAACTAGCCTGGAGAGCAAACACTATATATATATTTTGTTAACTATCATCATGCGCTATTTCTACATTATATGTTCCAACAAATAGTGTTTGCATGTCTGGCGAGCGATCGTATTCAAACAGCCTCATTAATCTCAGAAAATTTTCAGATGAATATGCAACGTTTCTGAACAGACGGCCCACTTATGCAGCAGCTTCCATGCAGATTGACTGCAAGCAGTCCTCTATACTGATGTTAATCCTCTGGAAATACCACACCTGACAAACATTTGATTGAATTAGCAAAGCAACACCATGTACTTCATGTATTCGTCCG